TGAGTTGTGCAAACCTCTTCTTCCCCACACTGCTTATCCCTGCAACTACCCATATTTGATTTGTGCAAACCTTCGCCGTTTGCTTCATCTTTCCCGACGGCACGCACACGCCCTTTCCCGGAATATCCCTTAGCTTCACCGGAAGCCATTCTTTCAGGTGATTCCTCATTCCTTTGTTTCAATAATTTTACCCTTTTGTATGATATCTAGCGAATCATCCCCCCTAGGTAGCTCTCTAGAATTGCTATTAGGTGATTCAGATTCCTCCCATCTCCTCTTAGATGACGTCATGTTTGAGGGTCTAGACGAGATGGCGGATATCGCTTTGATAGATCCTCATAGAATAGTTACCCTTCCTCTTTCAATTAAAAATCGAATCTTGATTCACTGTAATTAAGCGCCGCCAAACACTCCTCACAGCAGCTCCACTGTAATTAAAAATCGAATCTTGATTCGCCGGCCATGGATTCCTTCCCCACCGATTTATTACAAGAAATATTCATCAGACTCCCATTCAAGAACGTCGGCATCTCCAAATGCGTCTGCACATCGTGGTACGATCTCCTCTCTGACCAGTCTTTCTCCGCCAACTACGCCGCCAATTCGCCGATCACCATCGTCTTCGCCGAAAAGTCACATTTCACCGTCAATCCCCCCTCCCTTCTTCAATTAGCCCCAAATGGGGATCTAATCGCGACCCGCATAAACCCTAAAATACCCGGACAAAATCGATACTACGGAAGGGGAAAAAATTCCACCCTGTACCTCGTCGGCACCGGAAACGGGCTGCTGTTCTTGATGCTGCGGAAAGCTATACTCAACAACCTCGTCAACGAAAAGATTTATTTTTTCAACCCATTTTGTAAAGAATGTGTTCAAGTTGCAGAAAACAGCTTAGTTTTTCCAGAGTGGAGTTATGGCTATAAGTATACGATTGATTATGTTCCCGAAATCAAAAGCTACAAAATCGTGAGATTCACCGACCCGGGCAACGGAAAGCCCTCACAAGCGAAGATTTTCGCCGTCGGGATCGATCAAGAATGGCGAATCTTGGACGACCCGTTAGTTTCCTCGCCACGTTGGTCGAATAGGGTTTCTTTCAGGGGATTCTGCCATTGGGTTTCCGTGGATAACGACGGTGTAGTTTCGATACGCACTCTCGACTTATCGGAAGAGAAATTCACTCCCGGGATTCTATTGCCTCGTGAATTGACGCGAATTTCGTACTACGAAAATCGGGTCACGGGATTGAGAGTGTTCAACGATCGTCTCTCTCTGGTCGATCGTTCGGATTTTGATGAACGTATTACTATATGGACGATGGATGAGTACGGAATCTCCGATTCTTGGTCGAAAATTGTCGTACAATTAAGTTTGCTTCCGTTTGATATGAGGAAAGACGCCGATCTTTATCACGCGCTCACAATATTACCAAATGGAAACGTGGTACTTTCTCTAAAAGACAGCGTCGAACTCGTCTCCGTCTGTATAGAGAAAAAGCAGGCTACTAAATTTAGGGTTCCCGATAACGTCACCAACCATAGCACATTGTATGGAACTGCATTTGCTCCAAGATTTTATCCACTCGACGAGGACAGAGTTCGAAGGCAGTGGCATAATCGGAAAACTAGTGCGTGGTTGAGTACAGTGTCTATTGCGCTGCCCAGCTCGACGGCCGATGTGGCTAACGCACCCAAGTCCTCACGTCGTAAACGGGCTGCCGAAGATGCTCTTGTTCCCTTGACCAAGAAATCGTCAGCCTCCAACCGGTCGAGCTCGAAGAAGAATACTCCGCCACCTGCTCGTCCCTCCCCGAAAACGATTTCAGTTCCGGCCTCGCTGCTTATTCCGAAGCCGGGTTCTGACGAGATGGTGGATTTTATCCGCAGTTTCCGGTCTTCCAACGACCAGAAGGTGCTGGAGAAACTTGGTGAAGACGAGCTGCAAAGGCAGGGCTGTGCAGCCCTTAGCCACCTTGTTGGTCTATTTGCCAACAGGGGCCTTCCCTCGGTCCATTCACAGCAGAAGATATCTCGTCTGCGAGATGAGCTCGAGAGAGCGAAGGTCGCCGCGCTGGAGCAAGAGAGGGCTCTTCGGGATCAGATCGTGATCTCGGAGAAGCATGCCGCAGAGCAAGCGACAGCTCTTGAACAAGAGAGGGCTGCCTTTGCTCGCGAGAGAGCAGCCTTTGAGGTAGAAAAAGCTCGGGCTTGGCAAGAAGGCTACCGTGCCTACCTTCCTTCCGACGAGGGTAGGGCAGTGCTGCAGCAGTTCTCGGAAGAACTTAGGTATATGTACCCGAATTCTCCGGATTTTTTAACGGACTTAATGCCGTTTACGGAGTTCGCCGTCTCGCATACCATTAATATAGCGCAGATGGATATTACGAAAACTGGCGCCTCTGTCCACCTAGATCCTATCGACGTAATGGAAAGACTGCCTGCCAACGAGATGCCAGCGACTTGGCAACCTTTAAAGGTACGCCGTGACGGGCAACCGTGGTATACAGTCCCATTTGACGAGGCACTTCGTCCATATACCGGGGCAGGCCCTGTGGAGCTGGTGGATAAGGTTGCTGCCATGGAGGAAGATGCCGAGGCTGATAATGTGGCGACCCCGGATGAAGATGCCCAAGACTAAGGCCTTATGTCGGCTAATATTATATTTCCTTTTTGTTGTTGCCCCCCTTTTTTTATTTTTTTTTATTTTTATATTGAAACATTTATAATAGAAGTTGGTGTACTTTCTCACTCTTTTTGTTATTATTTATGTTCCCGCAGTAATTCCGATTACAATCATTATACCAAGTGCGAGGTGAATACTGACCTTGAATTATTCATGCAACTCCGGATTTAAACTTATTATCCCGGATGCGTGGTCAATACTGACCTCGATTTATTCCAGTAATCTATCCGATAACATTTATTATTTCGGATGCGAGGTCAATACTGAGTTATTCCAGTAATCCTTCCGATTACACTTATTATTTCGAAGCGAGGTAATACTGACTTTTGTCTTATTTCAGTGTAATCCTTCACTTATTCTCTCTGCCGAAACAAAGGGAATCTGACCGATCATTTGAAATTAAAGAACGGCCACGATTCCTCAACGTTTCACCTAACCAAGAACCTCGGGCATATCAACTGTCGCCAGACAGATGCTCACACGTGGCCTCAATACATTAAATTTTCTGCCATATATTCACGTGCTTACGCGAATTCCGAGGAAGGGGTCATGATTGCTAAGACTTCTGCGGCAAAGGAGAGCAGCAGTCAACCCCGTCTCAGTGCTCGTCGGTCCATGACCACCGAGCGAAGTCTCGCCGACCTCGTCTAAACGAGATCGAATCTCGCAAAACTGGGATTTGCTGAGCCATCTCTCGCCAAACCCATGCTCGCCTACCGAACGTCGGCCGAGCTGAATCTCGCGGGCTCATCACCTCGACATCCGATTCTCTTCTCTTCGCCGAAGCCCAGAGCCGCCAATTGAGCAATAGCTCGGTCAGTTGTTTTCTTTCGTACCGGCCGCTCCAGATCTGACCGTCTAAGGCTGTCAACCATTACCAATCGAAAGAAAGGGGATGTTAATTTTGAATCAGATCTGAAATCAATTTAAACGGCCCGAGCTGATGAAGTTTGTGGAGTTCTACCGAGCTTACCGTGCACTAGCAGAAAGGTACAACCACACCACGGGTGAACTTCGCCAAGCCCATCGAACCATATCGGAGGCATTTCCCGAAGAAGTACCTTTCGAACTCGGTGATGACTCGCATTAAGAAACGAGTTTATATCCACTCATAAAAGAAATGTATGTGTAACCCTAATTAATATCGAACGTAACGGATACTCGAAAAATTGATATAAAGCATATCATAATATTAAGAGTAAAAAGCAGTTTGCCCCCTAAACTATAGCCCGTTTTGCACTTTGCCCCCCAAACAATTTTTTTTAGCATATTTTTACCTGAACTACGTTTTTTGTTACACGGTGCCTCAAAAATGGGATTTTCAGGGCATTTTGACCGGAATCTCATACATGTGACTTTCACGTGAGTTTTACAGGGGCAAAAATGTCTTTTCACAAAGAAATTAACCTAGGTTTGATTTCCCCCTTTTCTTGAAATTCTAAAATGATAAATAATTTGGGACAAATAAATTCTCCAAAAAAGCAAATATTTTGGGACGGGATGTAAATCACACTATAGCTAACAATGTCTCACATGTTAATTACGAAATTCAAAACTAAAATTTCAACATAATTACTCTAAAATCAATTATACATTTTCCAATTTTTATTCCTAATTCAATTAATTATATTAAAATTCGACCGACCATCACCACCGCCTGCCACCAGCAACCACCACCGACGATCCGCCAAACGAAAAGGAGAGGTAAATGGAATCCTATTACATATGATTTGTGCACTTGATGTTTGTCCATTCTCTTGTCTGTCGATTATCGTTCGCAGCAAAGGTCGAACCCTGTCTTCGAACAACAACAAATAGTAATTAAATTATAACATATTAAATCAAAAACAGAAACTAATGTATTCTAAATATCGATAACGCAACTTAATCCGTGGATTAATTAAATTGAACAAGATAAATAAATATATATTTTTTCAAGAATTTAATTAGGAGTTAAAAAAAGCTCGTCGCGAGATCAAATTGTGCAATGCAAGTGTAGTGCAAGTGCACAATTAGAGCGATAAGTACTCACCTTAAACTAGATTATCGATTTAAGCTCAACGAGTAATTTTATGATCATAGCAAACAATTTATAACAGAATCGTAAAATACCTCAATTTTGAGTCTGTGGTGCAGCAGAGTCGTTATTTTGCGTCTCTATTGCACCATACACGCCTGCAAATACATTACGAAATCTCACACATTATTAAAAAAAAAAAAAAAAAAAAAACAGGGGAAAGAATCGTAATATTAATACCCGATAGACGCTTTGCACTGTATTTCTCGTCCAACGGTACGGGCGGTTGAAAGGAAAACTGCGAGATGCTTACACCTTCTTGTGCATATTCTGGGTGCTCGTCTATATACCTAAACCATTTATTTATTTATAACGCATTAAAAATAATAATATTAATAATGAAAAAAACAATTCCATAGCAATATCGGAACATTGTAATTTATACCTGTGGAGTTCAACCATAGAACGCAATCTCTTGTTAGACGGTGCAACATAGTACCTGTACAAGACATAAATCGAAATCCTAAATTTCAATTTCAAAAAAATAAAAAATAAAAATTAAAGAAAATTATATTATACACGTACACGTCAGCGAACTTGGTTCCTCCTTCGGCTCTGATCCTTAAAATTCGTTGCCATCCGGAAGGAGTTTGGGGAATCCGAGGTCTGTCCATCGCCCAACGCATGGTACCGTCTTGCTTGACATCAGATTCGTCTTTGCACGATATTTCGGGCCGCCACTCGCGAGCTGTTCTTCGATCTTTACTCGTATTTCTTCGTATTTTTCCTTTGATGGAATGAGCGATATGCCTAATTGGCCGAACCCAATGGGCCTACAAATTATTTACCTATTGGGCCACGAGCCCAATATCGAAGACCACTATCACCAAGGCCCAATCACCTTCAAGCAAGGTTTGGGCCCAACAATCTCATTTAAGCTATAAATACACATTTGAACTCATTCCATAAGGTACGTCCTATTAACTGAGCAATACTAAAATATGTATTCTCTGGACTATTTCTATGATCAGCACGTCTGACTTGAGCGTCGGAGGGGTTTCCGCCGGATCAACCCCCGGCTTAGTTCATGTGTTCTATGATCGCAGGTACCTCAGGATCATCAAGTTGTCAAGCTACTGATCCGCTTTGCTCTCCCAGTTCATTTTCTACACCACCCTAGGTGAGCTATATTTTTAGCATCATCATTTTGGCGCCGTCTGTGGGAACGATGCAAACCAGATCACGTAGCCAACAAGATCCTCCTGAGGCGTCTGCTCGGAGAGAAAATGACACGGCTAATAACCTCCCAGTCCGTGGAGGATCTGGCATGCCACCTCCTCCACGTGCAGCGGAACCACCTCCTCCACGTGCAGCGGAACCACCTCCTCCACATTCTGCGAATCCACCTCGCGAGGTTCAGGTGATCCCTCTTCGGGACCCACCACTCGCCGATCCACCACTCCCTCCTCCTCGAACGGTTCAAATAACCGAGGACGCGCTCCAACGCATGATAGCAGAAGCATCGACTCGCGCCGTCACGGAGGCCGTGATTCAATATATCGCCACGATGGGAGCAAACGCTCCCAATGCGATACCAGCTCCACCTGTGGTGCCGCCTGTAGTACAACCTATGGCGCTACCGCTAGTGCACAACCAAATAAGTGTCTCATCCTCTACCTCGGACCCACGGTCCCGAGTGCAGCTATCTACTAATCACAGAGGGGCACAGCCCAAACAGTAGCGTCATCGCTCACCCCCACGGGGGAATGCGTCACCACAGAGAGTCTCTCTCTTTAATGAGGGAGAAGGCTAGGTAAACAGCAGAATGTCTCGCCAAAATCTTTTCCCCCAACCAAATAATCTAATGGGTGAAAGAATGCCCGTCACAATAAGACGCAGTCCCTTCACCATAGACATCCTCAACGAGGTATTACCTCAAGGACTAAAGATTTCGGGGTTACCTCAATTTGAAGGGACCACCGACCCTTAACAAAAACCCTGGGGGTTTACAGTGCCCCCAAAATATTTCGTTCGTCAAGGGTTATCGACTCCCTTGGGGCTTACATCTGCCCCCAAAATATTTCGTTCGCCAAGGGTTATCGACTCCCTTGGGACTTACATCTGCCCCCAAAATATTTCGTTAGCCAAGGGTTATCGACTCCCTGGGGCTCACATCTGCCCCCCAAAATATTTCGTTCGCCAAGGGTTATCTACTCCCTGGGGCTTACATCTGCCCCCAAAGTATTTCGTTTGCCAAGGGTTATCGACTCCCTGAGGGCTTCCCTCTGCCCCCAAAATATTTCGTTCGCCAATGTCTACTTGCTCCTCGAACGGTTCAGATAACCGATAAGGACCTTCAGCGTACGACCGCAAAAGTTTCAACTCGTGTTGCCACTGAAGCAACGGTACAACCGTGCGCATCTACCTCAGACCATAGGTTTCGAGCGCCTCATCCTAAAGTGGGGGGTTATCACATCTCCAAGGAGTGAACATCAACCCTAAGTGTTGCCACTGAAGCAACGGTACAACCGTGCGCATCCACCTCATACCATAGGTTTCGAGCGCCTCATCCTAAAGTGGGGGGTTATCACATCCCCAATGAGTGAACATCAACCCTAAGTGGGTGCACATCCCATCTCAAGAAATGAGTATAATCTCCCTACTCAAAGAATAGAACATCCCCAAGGGGTGAACATCAACCACAAAAAAAAAAGGAAGAAGATGAAGAATAAAGAAAAAAAAAAAGATGAGAAGAAAAAAGAAAAAAAAAAGAAATAGCGCGTGCACAGCACGCGCGAGAAGAAGAATGAAGATGAAGAGAAGAAAAAAAATGAAAGAGAAAAAGAAAAAGAAAGAAAAAGAAGATGAAGGAAAAAGAAAAAGAAGAAGAAGAAAAAAAATGGAAGCAAAAGAAAGAAAATAAAAAAAAGGAAAATGAAAAAAAAATAAAAGAATCAGCCAAGTACAAGCCGCCCAAGCCGCGTCAGCCTCACCTGGGCTGCATTTCTACTGCCTCGGGGCGCGCGCGCAAGTAATTAAAAAACAAGAAAAAAAAAAAAAAATAAAAAAAAAAGAAGGGAAAAAGAGCTTCTGCACAGTACGTGCGTGAAAGCCATCTCCAGTGCGTGACTTCCACGCGCGATTTCACCCTCCAGAGCGCGTGCAATACACGCGCACACGTCCCAGCACGCCCAACCGCGCGCTCTTTCCCAGAACAGTCCAATCTCGTGCGCGCGCCCCCAGACACATCAAATCGCGTGCGCGCGCACCCACCCCTATCAAATCGGGCGTGCGCAGATTCTACCGCGTTCAACCAAATTACGCGTGGATTTCACCTCGATTCACCAAATCGCGCGAGAATTTCAACACGCTCCACAAAATTGCGCGAGCTCTCCAGCGCGCCTCACCGAATCCCGCATGCTCCCACAGCGATAAATAAAAATTATTTTTTCTCCACACCATGCCAACAATTAACGGTACACCACAACACCAATCTATTCTCAACTTGATTCCACGCCAATCGCGCATTGCACGCCCCGACATCTCCAACCGCGCTACGTGCGTGTGCTCCTCATTCACCGTAGGACCATCATTCGCGCCCGCGATCTCGATCCACGTGATCCTCTACCGAGCGACCTCGACCCACGTGATTCTCCATCGTGCAACATCGATCCTCATGTGCGTCCAAGTTGCGATATCGGTTCTACGAACATCAATCCGCGCGTGCACCTCTCTCAACTCACTTAATCGCGCGCAACTTCCACTCGCACCACCAAAACGCGCGAGAATCTCATCGCGCGCTGCACAATTCGCGCAAGGATTCTAACGCGCCCCACCCAATAGCGCTCGTTCTCAGCAAAAAAAAAAATAAAAAAAATGTAAGAAGCGACTAGCGTGTTCGCAAACGCGGCGCCTCGGTTAACGTGCGCGTCTGCAAAAAAAAAAAAAAATGGGCACGTTTCCCGAGAAAGAAAAAAATACTCGGGCACGATTCCCGAGGTGTGCACGGGCACGAATCCCGAGGCGCACACGACACGCTTCCCGAGGGCGCGCATCCAGCACGTTTCCCGAGGCCAAAAAAAAAAAAAGACGAGCACGTTTCCCAAGGAAAAGAAAACGGGCACGTTTCCCGAAAAAAAAAAATTGGGCACGATTACCGAGGCGCGCGCTCGGCACGCTTCCCGAGACAAAAAAAAGGAAAAAGCGAATAAAGCAACATGCTGCGTCACTCTCGAAGAAGTCCCTATCAGCTCCTCATAAAATTCTTAACAACTCCACACTCTCTTACTCCGTGCAATGCATGCGCGCGTGCTCCCCCATGTGGGCTAATGCGCGCACGGACCCCAAGTGCGCGCGAACTCAGGCACATCAGCGTCGTACAATGCGTGCCGCCCCTCCTACTTCCTAGCAAGCGCATACCTGAGGTCGTGCGCAACTCTCAAAATTCTACCTCAAATCACGTCAAGATTTTGACGCACTTTACTAAATCGCGCGAGAATTTCTGTGTGCTCCACCAAATCGCTTGATAGTTCCACCTCGCTTAACCAAATTGTGCGAGCTCTTCAACGCCCCTACCAAATCGTGCTCGCTATCAAACGGATAAATAAAAAATATTATTTCTCCATGCCACGCCAACGATTAACGAAACATTACAACACCGATCTACTCTCGACACGATCCGGTACCCCTTTCAACTTGGCTCCCACATCGTCTCGACAGTGGGGGTCTTGCGAGACAACTTCCACGAGGAGCCAACTCGCTCAGTACTACCACCCGCAGCGAGACAACTCCCACGAGGAGCCAACTCCCTCGGGTCTACGAAACCACAGCGAGATAACTCCCACGAGGAGACCACTCGCTCCGTCCTACAACCCGCAGCGAGACAACTCCCACGAGGAGCCAACTCCCTCGGGTCTACGAAACCATAGCGAGATAACTCCCACGAGGAGACTACTCGCTCCGTCCTATAACCCGCAGCAAGGCAACTCCCACGAGGAGCCAACTCACTCGGGTCTACAAAACCACAGCGAGATAACTCCCACGAGGAGCCAACTCGCTTGGTACTACAACCCGCAGCGAGGCAACTCCCACGAGGAGCCAACTCACTCGGGTCTACAAAATCACAGCGAGATAACTCCCACGAGGAGCCAACTCGCTTGGTACTACAACCCGCAGCGAGGCAACTCCCACGAGGAGCCAACTCCCTCGGGTCTACAAAACCACAGCGAGATAACTCCTACGAGGAGACCACTCGCTCTGTCCTACAACCCGTTGCGAGACAATTCCCACGATGAGCCAACTCGCTCGATACCACAACCCGCAGCGAGGCAACTCCCACGATGAGACAACTCGCTCGGCACTACGAGCCTAGTGCAAGGCAACTCCCACGAGGAACTACCTCGCTCGGTAATAAGACTCGATGCGAGACAACTCCAACAAGGAGACAACTCTCACAGAGCGACCTGAATCCGCATGCTCCCCAGTCGCGCGTCCAATGCTCCTACAACTTCGCTGCGAGACAACTCCCATGAGGAGACAACTCGCTCGAAATTCACTATATAATCGCAAGCTCAAGTTAGCACGATTACAACCCTAGAAACACTTAGAGATATTATGAGAATATATATAGCCTGGCCAGCTTGATTACTCAAATTTATCTACTTGTTTTCGATGGGT